TATATATATATATATATATATATATATATATATATGGCAGTTTCAAATGAAAAAGCGATCAATTTGTGAAAAAACAAGAAGGAATATGGGACACACAATCAAATAATTAAAAATACCATAAATAAAAAATGAAAATCATTTTAGAAACTGTGATAATTATCGTTTTGAATTGGATAAATCCTTAAAAATCTCATTACATCTTTTATATTTATTTATTTTTTTAATATTAATTAATTCATAGTTTTTGTATCAAGCTTTCTATAATTATTTTAGATACATTTTTTATAAAAAAATCACAATTTTCAAAGAATATCATATTTGATACGGTCAATTCATATGATACTTCTATATATTTTTGTTAATCATATGTGTATTTTTGTTAATCATATGTGAATATATATTTATAGATGTTTTTGTAATGTAAATATTATCACATATGATAATACGTCACTTATATTCCGATGTATATTATCATATGTGATATGTACGAAAATTCACATATTAGATCATATGTGATATATGATAGATGATCACATATGATTCAAATGTGAATCTAAAAAATAGAAAAAATATGTTTAAAATTAATGAATTGATTGTTGATATCATATTTGATATTTGATGGAAGTTTTAAAACTTTATTATCAAAGGTATATCAAGAAAAAGAATTATATAAAACTTGATAAAAAAAATAATGAATTAATTAAATTAAGAAAATAAAAAAAATGTAAAAGATATAATTAGATTTTTAACGATTTATCTAATAGAAAATAGTAATTATCTTAAAATTTCTAAAATTATTTTTCATTTTTTATTGATGTTATTTTTTTAATTAATGGATTGTGTGGCCGAATATTTTTTTTTCTCGCATGATTCTCCTTGCCTCTTTATCTCTCTATATAATTTATTTATTTATTTATTTATATATAATACATACATACATATATTGGACGGTAATCAAATGAGAACCAAAAAAAGGTTGTTAACCATGACAACTATTCTAAAGCATTAATTACTTTAAATCTATGGTCATTAAAGGCAATGCCAATTTTGAAATAAATTAAAACTTTATGCTTTACTAGTGTTTCAACCGCGCGTTGGCGGTACTGATAATATCATCTTCAAAATTAATGTTATAGACTAAAATTTGAAGTCCACTTCTAAGAAAAATTAGACAAATGTGTGTGGCAACTACTCATTAACATTAAAAGTTTTAAGAGAAGTTGACAACAATCTCTGAACCATATGCTAATTTAAGTTATCTAACTATACTTGACAACAGTGTTACAAAGTACTCTACAAATGTTTGACTAATGTTAGTAATTTGTTTAATTAGAAGTCCAAGTTCCAATTGAAATCTCATATAAGGTGACAAAATCACCATATTAATTTTGTAACAAATTTAATTGAAATCTAATTTGAAGTTATGAAAAAAAAAACGTTCTATAATATTTATAGTGAAAATTAGAGGAGTGCGTAAGTTCTAGCAACAATAGTGGAAGTTCAAGCAGATACATGCAAAACCACATCACTAAGCTAAGATAATTGATTCTTTCATAAAAAAATAAAATTAATATGAAGTGGGAACGATGACCCACATATCAGATATTAAACTAATAAAAACAAATACTACACTTTATTGTAACATTTTATAATATTTGAGTTGTAATTAAAGGGGTGTGTCAAACCTTGATAGTAGTAACACCAAGACGATCTTATGAGACAAACCCCATAATTTGAAACACAGACATCCAATCCATCTTTCTTATACACTTCAATTTGTTCAAATCTTTCAACTCTTCATTAATGTGGGACAACTGAAATTCAACCACAATTCACTATATAAGAATACTTAATTCTCATAGTGTCATCTCAATACCCCAAGGTTTTCTTTTATATATAAAGATAATGTTTTTTTTTCCATTTGGTTCTTTTTCATCCCAATCATGGTTATAGATTTCAAAGAGTGTCATTCAAAAAAAGACAACCCTATGAGACAAACCCCATGAATTGACACAAAGGCACCAATCCATCTTTTTATACACTTTACTTTGTTCAAATCTTTCAACTCTTCAACAATGTGGGACAACTCAACTTCAACCACAATTCACCATTTAAGAATACAAAATTCTCAATATTGTAACTCATCCTTGCAAGATTTTACTTTTATAATTCTTATGGTGCCATCTCATCACCCCAAGATTTTACTTTTATATATATAAAGATATAATAAAATTAATTTTGCATTATAATTTCTATCATTTGGTTTCTTTAGTTTCCAACCATGGTTATAGATTTCAAAGAGGGTCATCCAAAAAAAAATAACTTTATGAGGCAAACCCTATTACTTGACACAATGACAACCAATCCATCTTTCTTATACACTTCATTTTCTTCAAATTTTTCAACTCTTCACCAATATGGGATATCTCAAACTCAACCACAATTAATATAATTAATTTTGTACTATAACTTCTATCATTTGGTTTGTCTAGTTTCCAACCATGGTTATAGATTCCAAATAGAGTCATCTAAAGAAAGACAACTATATGAGGCAAACCCCATTATTTGACACAATGACATCCAATCCACCTTTCTTATACACTTCATTTTCTTCAAATCTTTCAACTCTTCACTATTGTGAGATATCTCAAACTCAACCACAATTCATCAACACCTCAATACTCAATTCTCATGATGCCACTTCAAATACTTTTTTCATTTGGTTGGTTTTTATCTCAATCATGGTTATAAATTTCAAAGAGGGTCATCCAAAGAAAGACAACTCTATGAGATAAACCCTACGAATTGACACAAAGGCACCAATCCATCTTTTTATACATTTTACTTGTTCAAATCTTTCAACTCTTCAACAATGTGGGACAACTCATACTCAACCACAATTCACCATTAAGAATACTCAATTCTCAATATGCCACCTCATCATTGCAAGATTTTACTTTTATAATTATCATTGTGCCATCTCATCATCCCAAGATTTTACTTTTATATATATAAAGATATAATAATATAATATAATTAATTTTGCACTATAATTTCTATCATTTGGTTTGTTTAGTTTCCAACCATGGTTATAGATTTCAAAGAGGGTCATCCAAAAAAAGACAACTCTACGAGGCAAACCCCATTATTTGATACAATGACATTCAATCCACCTTTCTTATACACTTCATTTTCTTCAAATCTTTCAACTCTTCACCAATGTGAGTATCTCAAACTCAACCACAATTCACAAACACCTCAATACTCAATTCTCATGATGCCACCTCAAACACTCATGGTTCTTCTTTTAATATATATATATATATAGAGAGAGAGAGAGTGAGAGAGAGAGAGATCAAACTCAACCACAATTAATATAATTAAGTTTGCACTATAATTTCTATCTTTTGGTTTGTTTAGTTTCCAACCATGATTATAGATTTCAAAGAGGGTCATCCAAAGAAAGACAACAATATGAGAATACTCAATTCTCATAGTGCCACCTCAATACCCTAAGGTTTTCTTTTATATATAAAGATAAAGTTTTTTTTTCCATTTGGTTCGTTTTTATCCCAATCATGGTTATAGATTTCAAAGAGGGTTATCCAAAAAAAGACAACCCTATGAGATAAACCCCATGAATTGACACAAAGGCATCAATCCATCTTTTTATACACTTTGCTTTGTTCAAATCTTTCAACTCTTCAACAATGTTGGACAACTCAAACTCAACCACAATTCACCATTTTAGAATACTCAATTCTCAATATGCTATCTCATCATCGCAAGATTTTACTTTTATAATTATCATGGTGCCACCTTCATATCCCAATAAACCTTGTAATCGTAAAAAAGTGGGGCTTTTTATCTATGCGCCTATCAAAATAAAAATTGGGATATGATCTCCCCCCGTCAAAATCGGACGTGAAAGTTTCCTTTCATCCGGCTCATGTTGGTACACCAAATAAAGAAAATGAAAGGAGTTCTCGCTTTCAAATTCTTGAAAACTCCAAAAAGATCTACTCCTTACTCAAGTTTCCAGTGAAGACCAAACAAAACTTCATTGATTCCGTCTTCCTTATTATTTTTATTTAGATTTTTTGAATTCTTTATTCAGTATGACATAAATGAAATGTGAAATTCTTGAGTAGTCTACTTGTCCTCGAATGATGAATCCTATAATTCTTAATTAAGTACCTTGGAATTCATAAGGAATTTACTTGTCTATGTACTGTTCCATTTGATCTCTATTATTTGACACAACGACATCCAATTCACCTTTCTTATACATTTCATTTTCTTCAACTCTTCACCAATGTGGGATATCTCAAACTCAACCACAATTCACCAACACTTCAATACTCAATTCTCATGATGCCACCTCAAACACTCATGGTTCTTCTTCTAATATATATGTTAGGACCTTTAGATTCAGCTTATGATATCAATCAAATACTCTGGATGATCTTTTAGACAATAATAGTGCAGCGGAAACAATATATGAACAAACAGAGTAAGAAATTAATCAAGAACACACAGATGATGAATATGAAGA